GCAGAGTCCTTGGTACCTTATAAATCTAGATAATAAAATGTGAATAAACTATGCATTTTTATGGTTCCTGTCACCAAGGTATCTAAGCTCTTGGGAGAGATTTTACTTATTTTAAAGCATATTTATTCAGCTGTATTTTCCCCTTTATTTCAGGGATTCTGCATTCTTAAGCAAGGACAGAGGAGAAAAACTCATGGTCCTCTTTCCCAAATCTCCCCGGTCTCCCAAATTTATAGATGCAAATGCAGAGTGCAGTCTGATAAGCAGCGACATAGAGTGCTCCACCACAAGCCTATGTGGAAGCAAGAATGCTATTTAATGGGTGGACAGTCTTATTAATTAATAAGGATTCCTTTAGCTGGGGACACTCTCACATATTTAGCCAGTGTATCTGAGAGTCCACCCTGTCTCGTGACCTCAATGGTTACCTCTGCACAAATGCACTCAAACCTGTCACCTGGGCCCATCCACATCTTTCTCCCCATTCGCATACATCTGCCCTCTTCCAACTCAGTATGCCCAAACAGGACTCTGTAATTCCCCCTCAAACAGACTCCTGCTCCCAGCTCCCAGGCCCAAAATGACAGGGCATGTTTTGATTATTTCTTTCATTTCACACAGAACCTGCAGAGTTCCTTCTTGCTGGAGTGGGAAGGGCGTGATGTTGGGAGACTGGGGCAGGTTTTAGCTGGGAAGCTTCATCTGCTGTTGCTTACTGCCTCCTGGTGGCTGGTGGGGGAACAGCGAGGGGATGGAGAACAGCCCTCCCGGAAGGTGGACTCAATTGCCAGGAAGAGTGAGGCTAGGATTCTAGGTACCACATATTTCAGAGACTAGAGGAAAGAAGCATCGAACCTAGAGCTCTGTCCTTGAGGGAATGACCAGACACGGAGCTGCAAGGAGGGAGCCTACTGCCTGAGCAGGAACCAGCAACGGGCAAGGTCCCTGGGAAGAGGAGAGCAGGAGTGGGTGGGGAAGACCCCAGGACAGCCCAGGTGGGAAGCTATGAGTGAAGAGAGATGGAGGAAGGCCAGAGTCTTACAGGCCAGCTAGTCGTCCCTCGCAGAAATAAGCCTCCACTTGAGGTAGAGGTGCAGCCTTTTTTACATGACCTCCCTTGCTGTGATGAGGCCACAAGATCCTGACACTCTTATTTTTGGAAAAGATAGCTTATGGCATCTATGGCAGGTCTGCCAGCAATGGCATAAAGGCCTCTGGATGGAGCTGCCAAGGGAGACTTGCCAAAAGAAAGAGGGCCCACCGTGTCCCCTCTGCCCAGAGATGAAGGGACGAGAACTACAGAAGGTTCTCAGCCATTGTTCTGTATTTGCTAAGTCCCCTCGGCCCCTTTCTGGGATTTGTCCTGCACCCTCCCATCATCACCTTGGTCTCAGCCAGCATCACCACATCTCTGGATTTTTCCACAGGGTCTCTAAGATGGTCTAGTAGTCCAAGGAGCCCTCAAATATAGTAAAATAGGTTCAATTTCACTCAAAATAAGAGAAAAAGGAAACTATGCCGAGATACCATTTCTCACTTGCCATACTGCTGAAAACTCAAAAGCGTTGCCCACAGCCTGTTTATGAGACTGTGAAGAAACAGGCATTCTCATCCTGCTGGGGCGAGTGCACACAGCAAGCTCTGGGTAAGGGGACTTGGTAGGATCCCCTAATCCTTGATCTGGCCAGCCCACAGCAACTGACTCTGCAAATACATCTCCAACAATATGAGGAACTGTAAGCATAAGATTATTCACTGAGAAATTATTTGGGGTAGCAAAATATTAGAAACCTACATGCTCATCCATAGGAGAATGGATGAATAAAGTATGATATATATTAGCAATGGAGGAGCATGCAGCTGAAAAAAAAATAGGAGGATGTCTGTGAATTGATAGTGAGTGATTCATATTTTCCCTTAACACTGTTAAGGTGAAAAGGCAAGACACAAAATAATATATGTAATATGGCAACTTTATATAAGAAAGAATAGGTAATAAAAATATTATGGAAATATGTATGAGCAAAAAGAAATACAGGGAAGGTAAACCAGAAACTATGCATCTGGTTGCCCACAAAGGAAAGGGGGAAATGTTTGGAAGGGTGTGAGACTTCTTGAAAACCACCTTATTATTTATATAGTGTGACTTTCTGGATGTGTTCATGTTTCGTGTATTTAAAACAATTAACACAGATGGGAAAAAAACCTGAAATGTAATACAAATAGAAGCAAATGAATTTTCCTATATATCAATTGAGAGCATAACACAGAAAAAAACGTAAGTCCCTTTTGAACATAGTGCTCTGTATAGCGTTGGTGGAATGTATTCTGAGGACAAAAAGCACTGACTGTAAGGAAACCCTGGCTCCATTAGTCCACCGCTGTTGGTAGTGGTGTTGACGGAGTGGCTCGGAGCAAAGGAGTAAACATATTGACATTGCTGGGAACCAGAGTTCTCACCGCGGGAGGAAGGAAACATGATATGGAACAAGAGAAGACAAGGAAGTGCCCAGAGGTGTACAGCTGGAATTGGGGTTATTAGCAGTGCTCATGGTGTTTTGAAGAATTACAGGTTTCTCAGCTGTGTGCACTGAGAGGGGTTACAGGCACACAGAAATAGATGTGGCCATTTATGGATATAGCTGTAGACATATAAATCTTCAGAGATACAAATATAGAAAAAGAAAATGCAAGTGGGAAAAAAATTAACAATTGGTGAACCTAGATGAAGGGTGTAAGGTTGTTCGCTGTAGTTGCAGCTTTTCTGAGGGTTTGTAATAGCTCAAAATAAGTAGACAAGGGAGGAAAATAGTTGGTCTCTATCATTGCCTCCCACTGGCCTTACATTTTAGTTGCCCTTCTCTGGACTTTTCTACCTCTGGTTTATCTTTCTTGAGAGCCGGTGACCAAAACTTCCTGTGGTAATCCAGGCGTAACAATGCCATCCCTGTAAGTAAGGGTGACATGGTCTCAACCTTGTTTTATGTCCTCCCTGGCAGGATCTGGCACACCTGGCAGGACCAGATTCTCTAGGAACCTGCTTTCATGACTGCTCTTGCCAAGGATGGAATCAAAGTTCAGAGCCCTCATATGTGCACCACTTCAACTGTTGATTTGCAAGTGTATTAAAAACTTCTGGCTGATTTTCTGCTCACTCACATGAACTCACGAGACCTTTCTACAAACTCTCCCCCTTCATGAGATTGTTCACAGCCTAGAAGAATTTCCTATCGGTGACGCATTCAACAAGTATTTCCTGAGCATCAGGCCCTGTTTAGCACTGGAAGTGCAGCAGTGAAAAGAGACAAAAGTTTCAGACATAATGGAGCTGATGTTAATGATGGTGGACAGAGGATGTCAGCTGGTGATACAATCTGTAAATAAAAGCAGTCAAGGAGCAAGGAGTCTGGTGGGGGTTGGGGAGTGGTTTGCAATTTTTAAATAGGGCAGCCAGGGAAGGCATCACGGAAAAGGTGACACTGAAGCAAAGACCGGAAGGGGTGAAGAGGTGGAGCCGCAGTGATATCTGGTGGAAAGGACGTTGCGGGAAGTACAAGTATCCTGTGGGGGCAGCCATTGGGCCTGCTGGAGTAACAGGAAGCCAGCAGGAGCCGCAGCTGAGGGAGAGGGCAGGAGACCAGGCCAAGAGGTGGGGGCAGATGGTAGGTGGGCCTTCTGAGTCACCCACTGGGTCACTGTCGGCCCGTGACATTGTTAAAGTCTCATATTAGAACGATTTCTCTGCATTCTCTCTTTCAGATAATGTTGGAGTTGATTCTCAAACATATCATTGAAGCATCCTTTTTGCTTCTTCCCTTCTTTCCTGTCTCCAGCTAACATATGATGTCCTCTTTAAAGAACAGCTGGAGCTGCCCCCAAAGAGCCACCATGGTCCCCCCATGGGGACTGAAAAGAGTGGTGGCCACTCGCAGGTCTTCTGGGTCACGTGCACATCCCTGAGGATGAAGAGCAGCGTGGGACAGGTGAGAGGGTTTGGAGGCATTAGGGGCAACGTGGTGACAAAGAGGACAGGAAGCCATGCCTCGAGCAAGGGGCGAGGTCCACGTTCGGGGTAGAGAGACAGTGCAAGGGTGACCCCAGGGATGCCAGGCAAGGGCAGAGAACTCAAGGTGAGATACATCCTCACTCCTCAGTTGTACCAGCTTAGACTCTGCCGAGGAGTCCCGGTTTCTTCCGTCTCCTGGAGCCATTCTCCTGGACACACACTGTGCAGTCCTTCCCCAGTGGGCCAGAGGCCATGGTGATCCAGTGGGGACTCACAGCTGGGGCTTCCTGGGCTCTTTCTGTGGAGCCACTGGTCTTGTTTTCTGGCTCCTTCATCCAAAGAATGGGTCTGAGAAGGGACCTGGGACTTGGGCCCCATTTCTTATCTCCTCACGTATCACCTTTTACCATGGATACTGGAGCAGGAACCTCACGCTGAGCTGAGACCCCCCCTTCCCCCAAGCCTTTCCTCCTGGGCTCTACATCTGTGTCTTGTGTCTTGTGCTCTGTGCTGGCTGATCACACTCACCGTGGGCAGCTAGATGCAGTGAGCAAGTAAGAGGAGAGGGGCCATCAAAGAGGGGATCAAGCAGAAATACAATTCCTCATCCTCTCTCTACTCTCCTGGCCCTTTTAGATTCTGTTTATGGTCCTTATTTTTAATGGATTTTTTTTTTTTAGAGTCCTATTGTCCTATCAGTGGAGAGCATCAATACCAATAACACCAACTGTTTTTATGACTCGACAGAGGAGAAAGAATCAATGCATAAATTAGAGCTTTAACGTCATAAAGTCCAGAGCATCAGGATTTAGTGAGGGGAGAGCAAGCCAAGATATGATAAAGTTGTAATTGGGAGACAGGAAGTGACACTATTTTTCACAGCAAAATAAAAAGAAAGGAAAGGAGAGAGATTAGGAGAGAAAATGAAATGCTGAGTCTTTGCCAGGCTGAGTTACAAATGATACCTTCAAATTAAAAAATGCCAGGAACTTACGTGATATCGGCATTAGGGTGAAGCCCAAAGACTTCGGGGTTATCCAGGGATGGCAATGACTGGATGTATTCAAAGTACTGATCCAGGGTTTTGCACAAGGGGATTTTATATCCAGTATAAAAACAGAACGATGGTTCAAACATCTTCTCACTGAACCAGACCTAAATGGGACAGAAAATAGAAGAAATAAAAGTGATGAACAGCTAATGAAAACTCCCAGTACAAAGGAGGAAGGGTCACTTTATTTCCACTTTAATAGATTTTTTTATTGGGCTTGAAAGTACATTAACAAAACCACAGATAGAATAATTAGCACATGTGTGAAGAAAGGAGGGAGGCCGTGACACAAAAACAGTGAAGCCCAGGCCTCTGCTTAACACCAAAGAAGATACTTGGTAACAGTGAAGAGGAGCCTGTCAGCCTGGCAAGCCCCGTCTTTCCTTCAATAATTTGATGACCCTTGGTCCCACTTTTGAAGGGGAGTTGGAACATATGCAGAGTAGAGGAGGCATGGGGGAATATGCATGCATTTTCACCCCCCAGACAAGGCGCAGGCAGGGGACTATGCTCTGCTCTCTGCTCGGGGCGGCTCACAGCAGCAACGGCCAGGAAAGCTTCCTCTGGTTCCTCTCCCCTCCCACCCTGAGCTGGAGAGCTCCCCGTGTTAATTAAGTTTGTCTCTGGCCACAAGAAGCAAATGCATCCAACTGTCTTATTGTTCGCCTTAAGACATCCTTTTCTCATTCCATATGAATTGATTATAGGTAATGTAACAGCAAGAGAACAAATACACACTTGGTGTGAACAGACTTATTCTGAAGAGGAAAAAAAATAATGTTGTATGACTATGAGCCAGATTTAAGGCAGTGACTTCAGTGTCTAACAGAACAATTTTCCTAGTAGGAAGGCAAATAATGGGAAGACCAGAGAAGCAGGAAAGCAGGCTGAATGTCTAAATCACTTAGAGGACTCCATGTGGAGAGAGATGGGGACTGTGCCTTACTTCTGCTGGTCACGCTTTCTCTAGTATCTTCCTTCCATATCCTTCTTCCAGCTCTTTTTAGACCCAGTGACTGCTCTGAAATGTCTACTGGTCCTCTTCTGTTTTACTTGTTTTACTCGTTCTAGCCTAGTCCATTCCTGGGCACAAAGCACTGAGCTTAGAATGGTAACAGAATGCAAACACGAGACACACACAGTCCTTTCCTGCAAGTGTGACTTCTGCTGAGACCCAGGAGAGGAGTAAGCTAATTAATAATAACCACAATACAAAGTGCACTAAGGTAGGAGCCAGAGGAAATAAAAATAAGCAAAGTACTAAGGAGGAAGAAAGAACAGCCAGATGGATGTCAGGTAGGGCTTTACCTAGGAGGTGATTTTGGAGTTAAGCCTTGAAGGATAGGATTTTGACAAGGGCACTTGTGACTGGGGAGACCACACAAGCAAAAGCATAGAATAACTGATGTAAAAATGTGAGGCAGGTTGGGGAAATGAAGAGATATAGGGTAAATGCAGTGTAGTGGTAAGAGACAGGACAGGAAATGTGAAGTGAGGTCACACTGTGGATGACTGTGGGTGTCAGGATGATGACTGGTGTTAATTTAAGAAGTGGAGAACAACTGGAAGTTGTTAGAACAGTGCTACGATTATGGTCATTAATTAGAAAGATTTTGTTTTTAGAGATGTGGATGGCAAGGGAGGTGAAGGCCATGGGGTCTTTAGCACACAGACAATAAATGGCCACACTGAGTTCTGTGTTGCCAGATGACATATATCTACAAAAGCAAAATGAAGTTTCTTCCTATTTTTCTATCACTTTATATACATACAAATAGCTAGATTCCCAGACACATCAATAGCTGAGAATTTGGGGGTATAGTCAAAGCACAAAATACGAAATCTACATGGACATTCTAGAAGGTACCTCACAAAGATAAGCAGTCATCCTCCAGGGACAAGAAATACTGTTCTACTGCTGTTGATTTTAGGGGAGACATACCATAAGATGTGCAAGCAGGGCTTCAAAGATAAGCCCCAAATGGGAAGTTAGTTATGGGCACAGAGGATCCAATTTGAAGGTACTGATATACAATTAAGCTGATTCTCATTTGGGCAACTTTGGATAACATGGTCAGGGTGAAGGGGCAGTAAGGAAGTTATGTCGGCAGGTTGAAAGGTAAGACTGGGGCTGAGACAAGGAAGACAGCGGAGGGCAGCACGTGCATCCATGGTGCTTCTCTGCGCCTTGTTCAACAGGGTTTCTGCTGCCAGGGTCACGTGGAGACCTCACGTCCTGAGAGCCAGAGACCCAAGCTCACCTCTCTGGTCATTGAAGGGCCATCTGGGGTCCCCAAATGAGTGAGGCGAAGGAACAGACGAGAGAGGAGGTTGGAAGGAGTGGAGGACCAAGCGCAGATTAGGCAGGAATGAGAGGGTGGGGCAGCTCCATGGTCAGAGAGCTGGAGCCACGGAAGGCTGAACGATTCCAAGGGGAGAGGGAGACAGAGGGCACAAGTCTGGGGAAGCTGCCCAGGGGCAAAAGAAGGGAACATGGTGGGATGGGCTTTTCATCTCGGGCAATAATTTCTGAGAAGAGAGTTCAGAGAAGCCAGACTCAAGTGATAGGAGGCAGAGAAACACAACCTAGGTGGGAAGGGACCTGCTGTTCGGGGCAGCCATGAACTGGGACCTGGATACGGTGCTCCATGTTTCCAGACCAGGTCTGCCCCACGTGCACCTCCCCAGGCTGGCCCAGGCCCAGAGAGTGGAGAATTCTAGGCTTCTGAGAGGAGGTTGGCATTGGTTTTTTATTGCCCTTCTATCTTTTCGAATGCAGGAGACTGAGGGGAAGCAGAAGACGAAACACAGGCCAGGGTTCAAGGGAGGAACTGCCCAGCTTGAGATCCCGAAGGTGGAGCAGTCTTAGTGACAGGCTCTTCTCTGTCCCTGTGTCCTGCTCAGCTGTCTACCTTGAGTTGACCGATTAACCACAAGCAGCTTTCAGCTGTGATCCAGAGAGCTGGCTCTGGTTCCGATGTGGAGAGCAAAGAGGTCTCTTAGAAATCGCTTCACTTTGCCAGCAAACTTCAGTGTTCCTGCCACCTCTAGAATGGCGGTTCCAATAAAACAAAAAAGCAGCAAAGAGATTATGTCGGCAGGTTGAACGGCAAACCGACAAAGAGAGTTGGCTAATGAGGACTTTTCTTACTTAAACTCTCCTTTTTAGACAAAACAGTTGGAGAATATTTCTTTAAAAAGCTGATATAAAGTGCTATAAAAAAGTGTACCTAATTTTCAGGTTGTGATCTGAGGTCAGTAAAAATTCAATCTAATTTACTCTGTCTTAGATGACTATAACCCAGGGCACATAAAACTCTCACTCTGCTGAGCTGATATTATGTTTATCATCGACAAACGTGTACTGAGTGTACCTTAGGTGCCAGAGAGAAGGGAAACAGAGACCTAGAAGGCTTCTCATTTTAAGAGGCTTACAGTCTAGAGGGGGAGACAGAGCACGTGTATTAAGATTATACATTCCCTCTCCCACTTTCCAAGGCACATCTTTTCCTCTTTTGTCAAATGTCCTAAACTTGCTGTCTCCTCCCCTCAGCTCATGATCTGCATCCCCTTGACTGGTACGGCTTCTCATTTCACTTTTAGACACAGAAGACAACCTCACCTGCCGCACCTGTCACCTCACAGTCTTTGTGCCTATACCCATGTCCTTCCCCTGTCATAAGGAATGGCTGTCCTCAGGAATGGCTGTCCTCCTTCTGTGAGGGGGGGAGGGCAATATAAGGATGGTGTGCAAAACAACCTGTATGCACATGGGTAAATCTCAATCACACGGGCAGTACAAATTATCATGAGTAACAGGGATGGTGATAAAACTGTGGTGGAACCAAAATGCTCCACAACAGCGACAAGAAAACACAAGTCAGACAGGCTCAGATTTAGAGCCTATAAGGCATGGTTGGATTTAATTTAAGTAATCATGTTAGAAAATATAGGGACTAGAAATGGAGTATGTAATTTTCAAACCAGGAGAGAGAAATAAAAACAATTTTTAAGAAACCAGGAAAGAAGAAAAAAGATTTAAAAAAGCATGGTTAATGAAAACCACAGAATAAAAGGGTAGAAATAGGTCAAAACATAGCAGTAATTATGACGACAGTAAAATTATTAATTTGCCTGTTAAAATACAAAGACCCTCAGATTGGATATTAAAAATTTCAGCTATTTATTATTTGTAAGAGATAAATCTAAAACATAAAGATACAGAAGGGGTTTCAAAAAGAAATAGTAAAAGAAAAACAACCAGGTTTATTACAATTAAGTAATTATTTAATAAATACAATTATTTAATTGTAATACCAGGTGTATTACAATTATTCTAATCATTAAAAGACAAATAAGAGAGTGAAAAGGCAAGGCTCAGAGTGGAAAAAGATATTTGTAACCACATAATCAAGAACTTATATCCAGAAGAGGCAAAAAAACACCCATAAATCAAATTTTTAATAAGACAGACAATCCAAAAGAAAGAAGAATGTACATAGCAAGTCACAAAGGAGAAAATAAAATAACCAATAAATGTTTGAGGGTACGCAACTCTACTAGTATTCAGAGAAACAAAAATTAAAACCAAAGCAAGATACCATTATATACCTCCCAGAAAGGCAAAGGAGATTAATGATGCCCACTGTTGGTGAGGATGTGGTGAAATGGCGTATCTGCTGGATGTATGAATTGGAACAACCACTTTGGAAAAATCACTTGACTTGGTTGATTAAAATGAGAAATACACAAACTCTGTAACCTAGCAATTCCAATCCTAATAGAAGGCATATCCATGTGCACCAGGAAACTTGTATGAGAACTTCCCAGAAGCATTATTTGTAATAACTCCAAATGGAAACAATCCTACTTCCACTACCATGCTACCATGGAATACTATGCAGCAATGCAAAGGAGTAAACTACCTCTACCTGCTACAATATGGGTGAATTTCAAAATATCATACTGAGAAAGAGAAACAAGACACAAAAGAAAACATACTCTATGATTCCATTTATATAAAGCTCCAAAATAGGCAAAATTAAACCACATTATTAAGGAGTACATACTTAAATAATAAAAGTATGGTGAAAAAGAGTTGGCTTCTATAAAAGTTAGAACTGTGGTTACGTTGAGCACTGGAAAGTTGTGATGGAGAAGGGGCATGCATGAGTCTTTGGGGATGCTGGAAATGTTCTATGTCCATTTGAAGAACTTTATTAAGTTAGTTTGTTTTATAGATTTTTCTGTGTTGTGCTGTTCTTCATATTTTTAAAAAGTAGGTTAAATTTTATAAAAAATATATCAGGCAAATACTAAGTAAAGGCAATTCCCTTTCCTCATCTTCCTTGACCTCTCATTGACTATTTCTTCTCTCTTGATACAATAAAGTACCCAAGACCTTGTCCTTTGCTTTTCCCCCCCCTTTTCTCCCTTTTTGCTTTCTTCTTAGATGATGATCTCATCTAATATCTTGACTTTAAATGCCACTTACATGCTCACAAATTCCAAATATTTTTCTCCAGCCCTGAGCTCTCTCCTGAATTTCAGACCTGTAAATCCAACTGTCTTGTTTATCTTCATTCATTCTCTTATTTGCCAAATATTTATAGAGCACCTACGATGTGCTAGGTCCTGTTCTAGGTGCAGGAAATTTGGCAGTGATGAAATCAGACAAAGTCCTTGGCCTTATGGAACTTACAGCCTTAGACAACGCCATTTGGATGTCTAGGATGCACCTCAAAAGTTATACGGTCAAAACGAACTTCCAACTTCCATCCCCAGCCAATAAACCTCATTCTTGCTGCAGTCCTTTCCTTCCTCTGTAAATAACCCCCTTCTCTATCCAGTTGCTTAGGTTGAAACTAGGCATGGCCTTGAACCCCTCTTCCTTTCCCCATCAGCATCCTGCTGGGAGTACCTGTACAATGCATCCAAAGTCCAACATCTCACAGCCTTCACATCTCACTATCTCCTATTTTAGATATTTTTATAGTTATTCTAACACACAGTATATTCACTAAGACATCTTTTTTCTCCCTTGAATCTCAGATACAGAGATGAGTTTACCATATTCCTTTATTTATTATTATTTTAGATCAAGGTCCCTTTTATTTCAGTTTTCTCCCACTCAACCCTGATATCTACTCCCAGTCTCCTTCTCTCCAAGGGCTTCTATTTAAAATGTACTTGATATGTCCTTGTGAAATACACATGCATTACCTTATAGATCTCACTTTCATTTTTTAAACTCTGCACTCAATACTAAGGTTTGAAAACCTATGCCTAATGGCATATGGATCATTTCTTCCAAGTGCTGCATCACATTCCATGATAGGCTTCTACAACATTTAACTCTATTCCCTCCATCACAGACTCCTAGGTTGCCTTCAATTTCCCAGTCTCACAAACAATACTGCGAAAAATGTCCATGTCCTTTGCACATGTCCATGGGCCTATTTGAGAATTTCTCCAGGATATACACTCAGGAATGGGATTCTGGTTCAGAGCGTTGTTGCTATCACACACTTGATATGACTAAGTGGTGCCAGACTGCACCCTAGAAGGGGTAGCGATGGAACTGCATTGTGCTCACTCACTATTCTTACCTGTTTTCTTAGGAATCGTACGTATTTGCAGTGGATGCTGTGATGCACCACAGCTCCTTCTTCAAAACCCAGGCCCTCACTCCCCCTGCTGTCTGGAGTATTAGCTACTGAGCGTTCACAGCATTGTCCCTCCCCAGGAATTACTCTGGCAGAAGGGACTCACCTTAACCAAGGTCGTGCACTGGAGGAAAGGGGGACCCACCAGCAAATCTCCATCTCAGACCTATTTCCAGAGAACACAGCCTATAATGGTCACTTTCAGCTCCCCACACACAATACTGCCACGAACATTTTTTATACCTGACCATTTGTGGACTTTTCCTAGAAATGTTCTGGGACACTTAACTTCTGTAAATTTTGCTCAGTTGCTTTCCAGGAGGTCTGTACTGGTTTAACATCCAGCAGCCGGGCTCCTGCCTCCACACATCCTTACTGATGCTTATCATCATTTACGTACAGCTTTAAGAAAACCTTGTAAAAATCATTAAGGTTTAAAAGAAAAAATCAGCTTTCTGGCTGACTTCCAATCTACCAAATACCCCCAAATTAACTTTTTTGTTCAGGTTTAATTATGTTAAAGGAAAACAAAAACACTGGAACAGAGAATTATCAATACAGATCCTAATATAAAGAATTCAAATAACCATAATATACACACATCTGATATTCTTTCCCGCTTAGGTAATATCTATTGTTTCTTAAACACATAAAAGAAGTCTGATAGATATATTTATACTATTCATCCTTGAATAGTATAAGTTCAAGAAACTTTATACTGTGAGAAAAGAAAAAAAGCCATGTTTAGTGAAGAAAAGAGAAAATCAAGTAATCAACACCTGAAAGCCATAATTGCCAAGGAATTATTGTCTCTGGAAAATGTTTACCGACATGATATATGTGGATTTTACTGGACACAGAGAAAAACAAAAAAGAATATTTCATCAATTTTCAGTTGTCCCAATGGAAGAGATGAGAAAATTCAAATTACGGTTCGTTCTCCAATCACTTATTTTGGAGCTTGACATTCACCATGAGACTTACACTCAGGGGAAGAGGCAGAGACACTATGTCTATTGCTCTTATGGAGGAGGAGGGGTGGGGAGAGACCCTGGGCCTAAGCAGCTCCTCTGCACAAGGGAAGAGTCACAGACCATTGAGAGTCAGTCACTGCTCTGCTCTGGGCCCCAAGTAGATGGCTAGTTGGTTTGGGTTTGACTGGCTGATTCTTTTCAGCAGCTCTGCTCTATACTTCTTTTCTCCCTTAAGTTTGGTTTACCTATTACAAACAAAGAAATATTCTTGTTTAAAAGGAAAAGGCGATGAAATGTCTCCATGCTTTTTTATCTAAACCAACTTACTCTAGCAAAGCAATTAAGTAGACGTTTGTCAAAGTCATCTGTCACTCTGCCTCCGTATTGTACTTCTCCAATCATGTACCGAACCGTACTCCATGATATACCCTTTATTAAAAATAAAAAAGGATTATTCATCATCAATCCAAACAAATCATTCTAAACATGTCAGTTCTGTCCCTAGAGGAAAGGTCTGGAAAAGGGAGCACTAGCTAGACTGCATTTAAAATGACTCATTATCTTATATTAGTAACTCTTTTGCTGTTACATGACTGGTACTGCTACAGTTTGCTCACCAAAGAAAAATCTCCAGTACTAAACATTGGTGAATATATTGCTTAGTGATTGTTTAAAATAGGGGGTAAGACTATTTTTCACTTGGGGGATGTAATCATCTATACCATTCATTACAGTAATGCCAACCTGTGAGAAAAGAAAAAAGCCATGTTTAGTGAAGAAAAGAGAAAATCAAGTAATCAACGCCTTAATGTGCTTTCTTAGTAATGTATTTCCTGGATCAGTATGTCAACTAGAAAATAACTCATTTGCAAGATTTTTCCACGATGCAATCCTTTGCTGCCTCATTCTGTGAACTTAATGACATCAAAGCATTTATTATTTCTATAGCAATCTTATGGTAGCAATACATTTCAGATATTGATAGTTTTTTTTTTTAAGTTGAAAACTCCCCTTCAATACATTAGGAGTAGGAAAAGTAAGGGAGCTTGATTTTTATTTACTTTCACTTCATTAAAGTTTTATTTTTCAGCTTCATTGCCTTTCAAAGCAACTATTTAAGGTAACTATTATTGATATACACTAAAATTATAAATGAAAAGTACAGCATAAGAACCCATATAATTTTTCATCAACATGATTTAATAGCCCTTTGTAATTTCATGGGATAATGACTTGATTCTAGATTACCTGGCTGTGCAGGTAAAAATTCATCATGGCTTACTGTCACCATAGTGGTAGCTCAGTATTCATAGTTATCTTCAAGACCTACTATGAGAAGGAAGAGAGAGACAGTAGGAAACCGGTGTATACTGAGTCCTTACAGTGCACCATATACTATGTTTTCACAAATGTGAACCCATTTATTCCTCACGAAAACATTGGCCATTTTGTAGATGAGCAAACAGGCTCTGAGAGGTTCATAAACTTGCTCAAGATCAAAGGAAAAACTGATTTCCAACCCTTTATAACATAGTTGTGAAAGCACGACCAGGTTTGCATTCTTAGCTCTGTGACCTTGAAGAAGTCCCTTACTCTTATCCCCATCAGTAAAATGGGGATAAAAGTAATGCCTTCTGTACCTATCCCTGCAGAATTGTGAAGTTAAAAATGAAAACCTGTATACATGAGCACTTTGAGAGCTGTGAAGTGCTAGACACTGACCAGTATTGTTAGAAATTATTGCCACTTCTATGGATAAGCTTAAATGTCTTTAAGACGTGATGTATAGTGAAAAAGAACTTTCATATGGGCTGGGAGGTAACATTTGCTCTTCCGAGGAGGTGTGAATGCGATGATGGAGGTCAAGTTTGATTTAAGGTGAACTTTCTCCTGCAGTGCAGTGGGGCCCTTAGTTCTGAGCTGAGGAAGTCAGTGGTCTGTTGTGTATGTGTGCAGAAGAGAGATGGGGTGCAGGACACAAGTGTGAGATCAGAGAGTCCAAAGGCACTCCTGTGGGCAGTGAGGAGGTGAATGGAAATGGCTGGACCAGGGAATAGCTGAAGAGCAGTACCACTTCAGGGATGTTGGGGGACCTCAGCACGTTCACTGTGTATCACAGACTGAGAATGTCTGTAGAACCTTGATTTTAAACCAGCAATAAAAATAGAGAAAAGAAATAATTTCACTCACTTTTTTAATATCACATTCATCAAGGTGATTCTGAATAAACTGAACACTGGCTGTAAAGTCAGCAGAATTGAATTCATAGGGAATATTCCAACCTAAGGGGCCGAATTTGCGTCGCTCCTTAAAGACACCAAAAAAAAGTAAGTATTGAGTGAGATTTTAAAATTCCCTTTTTTATTATCATTAAAACATAAAGTACAGTAAAATTAAGGCACAGTACCAAAGTTGATGTCAAAAGAATTATAAATGGTTTTGATCATATTAACCATTAGAAATATTATGCCATGGCTAGATGGTTTATAAGAGCAAATCTCCAACTATTTGTCAAATTGGAGCTCTTGGGTTAAAAAAAAAGTCTAGGTCTCCATTGCCAACTCAGAAAAACTTAGTAGGCACTCAATAAGTATCTGTTGAATGAACTCATTTATTTTAAATTGGACTCCTGAAAGTTTAAAATGTTAAATGTACAGGTTTGAATTTTTGTTTTTTCAAGTTGAATAAACTAATCACTCAATAGCATTTAGACTTCCTGCTAGTTTCACTTTGTAATCTTGCATTTTCAGATATTGAAAGCTAAAAATTTTTACTGTAAAATATGACACATATGTCTTAAAACTTTCACATTGTTCTCATTTGTTCTTTCCTCTGAAACTGGCTCTTTCAAATTGCTAAGTTACCCATACATAATTAAATTGGGCTTGGATCAAAGGATTCGGTTGCCTTGGTATTCCAAAGACCATTTTAAAGGAATTCCATTTGTGTTGGAACTGGTACTTCCAGGCCCTAATCACCAAGCAAACCCCAAAGATCAACTCACAGTTACCATACCACCAACTTCCCCTGCCTGAACACACAGCCAGTCTTTAGGAAGGTCCACATATTTACTCAGGTTTGCTCCTAGTCTTTGACCATAGTGCCTGAGGCGAGAACCCCTGTGGTGAGATGAATCTCAATACATCTATGGGAAGATGTAATTCTGCTTCTCTACCTCCAAATATATACTGATTTTTCTTTCTCTTTTCTGCCTTCCCCAGCACACACACTGTAGCTCCAGGAGTAAGGGAGGGGGAGGGTTTCCCCGCTGCAGGCAAGTTCCTTATGAATCTGATGAAACCAAAGTAAGACAAGGGAAAGGGCAGGTTGTAAGACAAGGGAAAGGGCAGGTTGTGCTAAAGGGTTTTATTTCTCATAGCTCCCTCAGGTTTGCTAGCCAATCCTTGCTCCACCCATGCCCCGCAGCCACAGTGCATGCTCCCCCCTCCCCACCTGCCCCTTCCAGTTGGGTGGGTCTTTGGTGACTAGTGAGCGCCAGACCAATTATATACCAGGAATAGAGGGGAGAAGAGAATGGGTGTTCTCTCTCTGTCTCTTACCCTATGGAGATGCCATGGCCTATTGATACACAAATAGGGCAGGAAATTCTGGGTACAAACTTCCATCCGCACCCCCCCACAAGCACACACATGCACACACAGTTTCCACAGCCTTCCAATACTTCTTACTGCAGCTGCTCCATGCTTTAGATCCTGAATAAAGGATTTAAAGGAATTCCATTTAAAGGAATCTAAGTAAATTTTAGTTTAGACAAGTCCATGGACAGGTCAGAGAAGAAAGTCAGAAAGCAAGAAGGTTTAATCACTGGCTTTCAGTATATGCCTTAAAAATATTAAGTAAACCATGGAAATTAATTTGGGTCCAGATGTTCTGGCCCTAGAAGATCAGACTGTTAAATAACAGAAATTCAACTGTGTAAATGTTAAAGATCTAATTAGCTTTATTGAACAATTCATGAATTAGGCAGCAGATAAGGAGCTCTGAAGATCTACAGAAAAGGAAAGGTTTTTAAAGTTACAGTTTGCTGACATGGGCTTGGCACAAATGACTCCACTTTGGGTCTGTTGTCACCTTTTTAACAAAACTGAGGGCAGGCAACTCTTAAAAATGTAAACTACAACCGTTACTTGTAGACCTGTGTTTCTTTAGGTTAGGTTGTCTGTGTTAAATGTTTCTATGATGTGGCTCCCACCCCATCCTCTGGTTAATTAGATGAAAGGTGGACAACAAGCCCAAGGAGAGCCAATCAGATTTTTTCTCCCAGGAATTTAGATTTAGGGTTTAGAACTGCTAC